GAAGAAGGAGCCAAAGACGATGACCCAGGGGACGGCCAGGCCAGCGTGCCCACCACCAGGTTCCCGCTGACGGCCTCGCCGAACCTGGAAGGGCAAAAGGGCAGTGAAGGTGGGGCGCCCCTCAGGCTGAAGCTCCCTTTCTACGCCCCCCCCCCCCCCAGGGACCAGAGAGCCGGTCCTCGCCTCGGCCTGGGAAGGCTTCCCCTGAGCAGCTGCAGAGTGCCTTTTCCGGACCCGGCTGGTGCCAAGAGGGGGAAAGCTCCCCCACTCCAGCCCCGCTCAGCTGGTTATGCCACCTGGAAGGCGGGGGGGCTCAAAGCAGAGCTGACTTTGAGAGACAGCGGGGGGTGGGGGCATGCTGGTGGGAGGGGGGCTGTCTCAGGGGGTCCCAGGCACTCACTTGTCCCGCAGCACGACGCCCTCAATGCAGGCGCCAAACAGCACCACGGAGCTGATGTCTGCAGGGGCATCAAGGAAGCCAGGCAGGCAGGAAGGCAGGCAGGGCGGGGGTGGGGAGGTGGAAACCCACGTTGGGGAGCCAGGACCCCCCTCCCACACCCAGTCGGTAGGACCCACAGGGCCATTTTCCTTCCTGACATCCCTCTCCCCACGGGGGCTCAGCTTCTGTAAGAGAGAAGCCTGCAGGAGAACCTGGGGCCAGACCCCCCCCGCCCCCCGAGAGAGGCTCTGCCCACAGTGCCAGGATGTGGTCTAGAGCCTTCCGCACACCCCACAGAGCCTTTGGGGGGGGGGCACTCGAGGCCAGCTGGAAAGGGGCAGCTCCCTTTGCCCCGCAGCTGCCCCGTGCCAGTCCCATGCCAGCCAAGGATACAGACGGCTGAGGTGGTGGCGATGGCGAGGATGGTGCCCGTGGGGATCGACTTCTGAGCGTCCCGGAGATCCCCAGAGCGGTTGGAGCCAGCCATGATCCCTGCGGAAAGGAGTTGGAGGGTCAGCCTGCCTCCCCCTGCGGCCGGCTCTCCGTCAGAAGCCCTCCCCCAATCTAGGCAGGGGGAGGGGGAGGAGGCAGAAGAACCAGAGGGAGGGGCTCTGTGTCTCTGTGTGTCTTTGTTTGAGACCGGCCAAGGTTAGTGTTAGGGTTAGGGTTAGGCCCGATGCTGCCGGAGCCCCAGTCAGAGGCCGGGCAGGAGGAGGAAGGGAAGGTTTATGCTCGGAGGTCCTTGTCTGGACTCCCTGGAAGGACCGGTGTCAATCTTGGAAGTCTGAACGTTCCTCTCCTAGGTATTGTGGGGAGCAGGGGGGGGGCCTCTGGCCAGCCACCCTCCCAGGAACCCCCCTCCCCCAGGCTGACCAGGCAGGAGAGCCCCTCCCCCTTGAGCTGGGGGCCAAGCGGGGGGTCCCAGCCGGCCCTTCCCAGGGAGCCTCTCACCGGTGACGGAAGGGAAGTAGATGCCGACCAGCAGGGTGAAGTAGGAGGTCATGTCGCTGAAGACGTAGGGGTGGTCCATGTCCGGCTCCCCCTCGGAGGAGGAGGACACGGAGGTCATCCCTGCCCGCTCAATAAACACCCCCTTTTGCAAGTAGGTGCTCCAGAGGTTTTCTGTGAAGGGAGGAGGCAGCAGCTCCAGGACCCATCCTCCCCTGCTGCGGTCCTCCTCACTGCACCTTCCCCCCCCCCCCCCCCCCCCCCCCCCCCAGAATAGGATTTCTCACCTGCAAAGACCCTCCGGCCGGTGGTGGCCTTGTGGATCGCCCTGTCCCAAAAGTCCCCCACCAGATCTAGGCAGCCCTGTGGACGGTGGCTCTGCCCCCCCTCCCACTGCCCTCAAGGGAGGGCCCTGCTGGCATTCCCCTCCCCCCACCCATCAGGAGACCCCACCCCCCACCCCCGTGGCAAGAGGCTCCTCGTACCTTGGATGAGACCGGAAGCCGCTCCAGGGATGCCCTCAATCTCCGTGACGTTGTTCTGGCTGAAATACTCGTCACAGGTGGCATTCAGGAAGCGTGAGGAGCAGAAGAGTGCCCACAGCTCGGAGCCCATCGTCTCGTTGCCCACCTGGACCACCTTGGTACACACGTCAAAGCCGTCGCGGGACAGAGTCCGGTTGCCCAAGAGGCAAATCCTGCCCAAAAGACATGAAGGGAAACTGAGGGCTGTTTGTCAGCTCCTCCAATTGGCCATGCAAGCCCCCCCTCCCCGGTTTCCCTCTGCCCTCTGCCCCCCCCCCCGGCCGCCAGGCCATAAGGGTTGGGGATGGCCAAAGTGGCTTCTTGACGGCCAGATCCTCCTCAGCCACTCAGAGCCCCTCCCTTCGGCCCCACTCAGTCTGGGCCTGGTGGGTTTCGTGCCCCTCCCTGACAGCCCCTCGACTCTGTCTCCCTGTGGGCAGCCCCGGACCCTCTTTCCTAGGAAGTCCCCTTCCTCATCACAGAGCCCCAACCTCTCCTCCCAACCAGCCTCTCCCCATCCTCTTCTGATCCTTTACAGACCTTCCTCCGGAACAGCCCCATTCACTTATTTCCCCCAAAGTTTCCCCCACTGCTGGCTCCCATTTCCCCTCCCTCTCCAGATGCTCAGGGTCCTGGTCCTCGGAGCAACGCAGAGCCTGTGGCAAATCCTTTGAGTTCTCCACCGGCGTCTCTGCTGGCATCCCTGATCAAGAGGCCTTTGAGGTCACGGGCGCCTCGGAAGACATTAAACTGGGGCGTGGCACATCCTTGTTGAGACCTCACTGGGCACTGAACCTTCTCTCCCCATTTCCCTCCTACCGGCTGCATTCAGCGACCAACCTATTCATGCTCAACAGTCTCCGAGTCTCTTGACTCCAACCACACCTTTTTTCTCAAACGAATAAGCAGGCAGGCGACGCCCCCTCACTCTTCCTGAGGTGCTGGAGAGCAGAAGCCTCCTCTGCACCCCCCTTCTCAGGATGGCCTTTTGGACCCGCTCAGGGCGAACTCTGGGGAGCCCCCTTCGCAGAACACACACACACACACACCGGACCCAGCGGGTGCCCTGCCGATCCCTTCAACCCCCTTTCCCTTCGCGCAGGGCAGCCACAAGGCCCCCCTGCCAATTCAGGCTCCCCACCTACGCCAAGCGCATCCATAATTTAGCATTTTCCCAGCTGCACCACCTTCATCTTACATTTTTTAGCATTCTGGCACCGCTTACGACTCCCTCCGTTTTTTCCCTTAGGCACAAAGATTTGGAGCAGTCATTTTGGTTCCCGTCTGCACTATCGCTGTCACTCTCGCTCCCCAAATCCCCTCCGAACGCTTCCCTCGCTTTTATTTTTAATTCCATGCTCTTCACCGGAGGCGCCTTGTGCTCTAATTCCCTGCCACCGTTTATTCCCGTCAAGGCCGGCCTGCTCCGCACTTCCCTTTGGTCTCGGCCGGCCCTTCCTCTCTCTCGGAAGCCCCTTGGCTCTGCGCAGGCTCTTCTGCTCGTCCTCACTTTGGGGGCCTTCTGCTCTGTTGACCTGCTCTGCTCCCCCCTCCCAGCCTTCTGGACGCATCAACGCTTCCCCCAGAGCCTCCCTCCGCTCCTGCGCCCACCACAACAAGACGGAGCGTGTTCCCTGTGACTTTCCATGTTCGGACACCCGCCTGCCCTTCTCATGGAGCGTGGAAAGGACTCGAGGGAGGGCCCTGCACACCGTTCCGGGCCCCCCTTTCCAGGTGTCCACGGGGGGAGGGGAACCTTGCATTGCAGCAGCCCGAGGCTCCGCCTGGTGATGATCATGAGCTTCCGTGTGTGTGTGTGTGTGTGTGTGTGTGTGTGTGTGTGCCCGTGTCCCTTCCTCCTGTTTGCTGACC